AGAGGCATCCAGACGAGTTCAGAAGTGACTGCTAGGGCATTACCAGAAATGCAGTAAGTTTTTCAGAAAAGGAGATGTGAACTTCCCATAAAGCCCTGCTTTGAAGAGGAGGTTGGTCTGGATGACCTCCACAGGTCCCTTACACTGAAATCTTTCGATGATTGTAATTCAGCTGCAGCCAGCAAGGGCTGCTTACATATCCCTCCACGCCGCGAGCCAATCAATCAGGATGGCATCCAGAGAGCAGGGCTGAAGGCTCGCAGCAGCGAGTCTCTCCCCTTTATCCATCACTGGACAACGTGTACAAAAGGGTACGATTAGAAATATTTTTATATGCTCCAAACAAGGCTTGTACTGTTCCTTATCTTTGTGTGGATCTATATAATGTCATTTTCAAGAACTCCTGTAGGTCCAAATCAAATCCTAAGCCAAAGGGAAACCACATATTGCCTCACCTGATTAGACCCTCTGCAGTTCATCCCTCCAGCTAATCCTGTTGCATTGCCTCTTGCCCAAAGGGCTCTGTGTTTCCATTGCAGACATAAACTGCATTAGTGTACCAAAAATGTAAGTATTTAGAGATTCTGCCCAACCTTAGGGAATGATGTAAAACCATTTCGGTTAAGAACACGGGGATCACCTCGGTATCTGAATGGACCACAGATCATTTTCTTCTCCCAGCAAACTCAGAACTAGAATTCAGAGCAGGCTAATTGACTCGTAGTCTGTCCAAGTACTCTGGCGCGCCAATTACGCTTTTCACCTTCTCATTCCATGTCAGAATAAAAACGCCTTGATGTGTGGCACTGAGGAAAAGCAGACACAAACTCGCTCATTCAGCTGATTTTCCCAGAGAATGAAAGCACAGAAATACTTTGGAGACGTGGCCTGTCCATGCTGTAGCTCTGTGCGGGTGTCTCAGCACCGCAGCAAAGGCTGTGCCATTGAGGCCAGCAGCTTCTTGGTCTGAGGTGGGGACTCAGAGGTTTTGTCCTTCCCATTCGTTCCTCTGGCATAAAAAATAGCATCATTTCCTTCAGGTGGGCCAGACATGTTTGCTTTTCTTATCCCATTTCTCGTTTTCATTCAGCCTGCAGCCTAGAGATCCCTCCATCCCAATTCCCCTAAGCATCTATCATGCAGACCCAGCATTAGCCCGGTGCTTTGGTTCCCCAGGTACCTCCGTGGTCTCATGGGTATAAAACTGCAGGTGGACAGTTGAAACACCAACACTATATGACTGTACTCTTGCAGAAGCCCGGGTGTTTTCTCGATGTTCATTCCTTTGCTTTTTCATCTGTCTCTCCCCAAATCAACAATTTTCACCATTGATATGTTCCACAGCATATTATCATGCAAAAATTTGAAGCACAAACGAGAATTTGGGGGTAACTCAAAATAAATGCAATATTAACGTAAAGAGCACAAAATAAACTCTATTGAGTATCTGGTTCATTTTCAAATTTCTGTCCCCAGACTCCTACACTTCTCTGCTTAGCGTGATTCCAAAACACCTATAAGTACTACACGGACGTGCTGTGGATTAAGCATATAATTTGCTTTAAAGGCATCTTTTGCTTCTCTTTCTTCCCTCTTTCCATTTGATCTTCATTCTGTCCATTCCCTTTTTTTCCGGCTCCCTCCAGCTGATCGCAGAGGCCAGACTAAAGACAGAGAGGAAAGTTAAGTGAAAGAAACGGGGTCAAGAGCAGCCTGAAATCAGGACCTAACAAGGAAGAAATGAGAGGATCTTGAATGGAGGGGCAGTCATGCACTGAGGAGCCTCTAGCTAGGCCAGGGCTGGAGACATCGATCCAAAGTAAAAATGCTGCCACTGAACTGCTGGGAGTAACTGGGGAGGCAAATACTCAGAATATCTTGAAAGTAAGATGTCATAGCAGTGGAAAGTCAAAAATAAGTTGAAGCCAAATTTGTCTTCTGAAGTTCTCAGGTCACCAGGCAGTTCAGAAAAAGACCATATAGACACAGTGTAGCTAGGTAGATGGGAGAAGTGCAGTTTTGGATTTCAGGAGAGTATTTAAGGGACTTCAAGCACTAAGTTCAGCCTCTGAGAGCTGAGCGCAGCCCGGGCAGATGGGACGCGATGCTGCTGACCAGCTCCTGAGCGCAGACAGTGGCACACATGGACACTCTGTGGATCAGAGGATTAGAGGCTGGGAAACATAACCCAAGTACCAGTAGCACAGAGGATTGACCCAAGATGTTGATCTCCGTGCGGTCTGGGATCAGACCCGAAACGAGCCTCATGTGAGCCGCTAGCAACACCAGTAATGAACGCTCCGCTGTGAACCAAGTCCTGCAGAGCTCTTTGCTTGGGCTTCAGAGCTGCTTTAGCCTAATTAGTAGCTAAAGGGTTCAGCTATATAACCCTGGGATTAGGTCTCAGCATCAGTCTGTAGCCAGCTATTGCTCTGCTTGGGAATTAAGTCACAAGTCTTTTCCAAAATCCACTTTCCTACAACAGCTGTGGCTCTAACACTAATCACGTTTGGGCTGGCTACAAACTACGTCCTTCTACCTACTCCCATGCACACAGATTCTGATTTAAACAGTTATTGGGAGGGGAAAGAAGAAAAAAGAAAAAAAAAAAAGCAAAGTTATTGATTTAAAAATTTACATTTCCCAATGAGAGCCCCGAAGGTGGCTCACCGCAGTCAGACAGCAGAAGAGCGGGCGCAGGGAGGTTTTAAATCAAGGCAAAAAGGCAGAACATAATGCTTCCAATTTACTTTCTTAAAATGAAATGTGCAAGCTAAAAAGCCATGAATAAGCACTACTGCACGCTGCAGCCACCGAAAAGAGATTTTTAAGCCATTTCCCCCCACCTCCTTTATCTTGTCAAGAGACTGTATTTTCATTGTGTTCATATGGTAATTTAAATCATGCTAGAGCTCAGAGCATACAGTGTAATTGTAAGTCGGCGAGGGTTTGAATGCCATCACTGCTGTGCAAATAACATCATCAGCTCATCAGCTGTGTCAGTAACATTGCAATTATGTAAGCAACTATTATTTCCACCCCTGATATGCCATATTAGAACTTATTTTGGGGGCTGGAGCTGACAGGTATTCTATAAATATGAAAAGTACACAACAGCAGCCGAGCCACGGTTCGAGGTAGGGACGTCATTCCACCGGGGCTTTCTGGTGGCATCACCAGCAGTTCAAGGCACTGCTGGATGGTCCTAAAGGAGCTGCTGTAAAAGCAGTGCCCCCTTTGCCCTCACCCCACACCCTACCCATCACCTGGGACCCCAATTCCCTTCCTCTTACCACTCTTTGTGCTCACTCAAACACACACACTACTCCTAAAATAGAAAAGATTACTTTTAACCTCAGGAGAAGGTTACACAGACATTTTAATTTGGCCTATTGCAGAACAGGTTTTGGTGATTGTTTTTTCATACAGCTAAGGTTCTGGACTGGAGCTTGGTACTAAGTCTTTCTGAGACTTCCCATGTGTTTTTGGCCAGATCAATGATTTCCTAAGCTTCTATTTCAACTTCTTAAAAACGAGGCTAGTGTAATGATTCAATATGGGGATCATGTCACAGCAGAGCCAGCCTGCAAGGCCATCTTCAGAGAGCCCCAACCTCCCTGTGCTCCTGTTACGATGGATCTCTTGGCGACAGAGGAGCAAAAGCCCACAGGCAAGTGCCCACCAAGGTTCACCAGCGCAGTAGAAAACTCTTTTCCATGACATCATGCGCGGTGCTACGCGAAGCTGATCCACTGTTAACATCAGCCCTGTGAGCTTCATGGGGAGGAGGAGGCAGAGCTCCTCTCCCAGACACGATCCTTGTGCCCTTGGCACCCCAGGGAGGCAGAAGTAATTGTCCATAAGCTTCTCTGCCTGCCTCGTTTTCTGTCTCTCAGACACACACCTCGCACCGACACAAACCATGGCCAGAGCGTGTGGCACTGCTTCAAGCTCAGGGCTGAGGAGCACTTCAGTAACAGCTCAATATATGAATAAATACAATAGGAAGCCACACTTAGGTTAATTCACAGTCAGGTGTTCGGTGTTGTGCCTAAAGAAGTAGTGCTCCACTGAACGCATGTCAGGATGATAGATTAGGGCCATTTTTATTTATTTATTTATTTTTAAGTATTTCACCTTAAAATGCAATTGGAAGATTGATTCTTTAGATCCTCACATTATATAGGGTCTAGGTCTTGAGTATAACTCCGCATGAAGGGAGATGATTCTCATCTTTCCCTTATGGAAATGCTGCGTATCGGAAAAGCTGACAAAGGGTATGAATAAAAGTAAGGTATGGGGAGAGATAGCCATAAAATTATGAATGCCTGGTATTTACGGAACACCGGTACACAGTACTATTAATCTATATTTTTGGTTGTTTTGAAACGACCTCTGCAAGGCAAATGTTTCTACCTGAGTGTACTCTTCATTAGAATAATTGTTTTTATTTTGGGGAGGACACTGAGGTTGTCTATTCTTTTACTGTATTCTCTAGCATATTATATTCATGGAAAAACATATTTATTCAGAACTTCATTTTGATTTAATAGAAAAATAGTTCTTGCCACAGCAATGTAGAATACTCATTTTTCTCCATGTGTTGATTTTTGGCATATAAATGCCACAAGCCTCTGTTCTCTTTCTTTATCAAGAAAAACTTGCCTGAGATTAATTTCCTCATCATCTCTTCCTTTTAAAGTGGCTGTTTTTCAATGCCATTTAAAGACAGTGTTGTGATAAATTCCTGTTTTCAATGTACAGATTTCAATGAAAGAGTCTATTCCACAGCAGTAAAATAATTGAAACCAAATGGAAAGGGGCAAAAAAAAAAAAAAAAATCAGGTACACCACTACTCCAGCCAATCGTATGAGAGGTGCCTTCATGTATTTTTCTTTCTAATGACAATTATTTTTGAAATAAACTAATTGCAAAAGTTTTTAAAGTTTTTATAGAGTGCAAGGGACATGTTTCTGACATTGCTTCTTTATAATTGCAGGTTGGACTAATTGAAGACTACTTATATCGAGCAGAAGACGCTTACTTACAGAACAAAGGACGGAAAACCTCTGAAGATGGAAACAGCCAATGAAGAGGACTCAAGAGGAATATTAGAGCATAGGAAATATGAAACTGTCCCTCACCAGCCCTAAAGACATGGTTACATAGCGAATAAGAAAATAAATACTCTAGATATTTGATAGATAGGTCAAAAAAAAGCCCCCCTTCCACTTAATGAGCCTTCCCCTCACTAAGGGGTATCTTCGGTACCTCTTAACTATCTAGAATAAATGTTCCTGAAAGGTTTATTTTAAATTGTCTTGTTTATTTAAATAATAACACCCAGCCAAAAAGGGGTCTGTATTTTCTGCTCTGAGAATATTCTTCATTCAAACTCTATGAAATCCTCCTGGTTTGATTATCGCCCAAGAAGCACCAAAACCAGGGATCCCTCCATGTCAGCTGACAGGAATTCAGCCTCACATTGCCTTCTTTCCAGGTTAATACCTTCCTTACGCTATAGATATTGGTACAATCTGTAGGTGAAAATTGGCATCCCATGCCTTAGGGCTGCAGCAACTACAAGGTCAAGAAACACAACACTATGAAAAGAGAAAGAAAATTTAAAAAGGAGCCCAGGTGTTGCCCCATGCATAAGAATGTGAAGCCCCTCACTCTCCTCTGTGCCCTCAGGATGGTTTTCCCCCCATTATATGGTAATTTTGGGGGTTTTTAGATGCACTAACACTCCAGGAAAGAGAACAACTACACCTGCCTTCTCCAGTGCAAATCTGGTTAAGGATATGTGACACATTTTGCACTCCCACGGCAGCAGTCTGTCATGTAGGCACATCTTACATCGCTTTGGTCTTCAAGGGAGGGGAGCACAGATTCCCAAATCCCCTGAGACCTGTCATCAGCAAGCAAAGCAACGCACCTACTTTTCAATAGAGATCACCTTATCAGATGATGTTTGACAGACATCCCTGGCTGACGGGCGCAGGCTGTTCTGAGGCTGGCATTCCCTTTTTGTTCACCCTGTTTACTTTGTAAGAAAATAACCTCATCCTATAACAACAGCGTTCAGCTCATTACATTTTCTCATTCAAGGGTGACTTTAAAACAAAAAGATAGAAAGAAAGGAAAAATCCAACCCCCACAGCCCTAAGATTTAATTAAAAATCCAGGACCTCAAAAGGTATTTAGCTACTTAATTCCCATTATCTATTTATCACAGATAGTAGTCTATATCCTACGGATTTTTGGCTGCTAGAGACCATCTTGCTAGGCTCTCATAAAAGACTTTTGAAGGCTGAGAAAGAACTGGCAAAAGCTTTGATGGTCCTTTGTTCATTACTAACAGAGTAAGTATAAAGAAATCTTTTTGAGAAAATCTGAGCTAGCTTGAGCTCCTTAAACATGTGGGACAGAGACGAAGAATTATTGCCCTTTGGAGACGGCATTATTTTGCTATGGAGTTGGTTTTGTCAGATGAAGTTTTATGACAGATAGTGGCAATCATCCATCTTTGATGAGCAGACACACACTAAATCAGAAAGACTGCTCCCCACGGATCATCAAGTCACAGTCAACACACAGTTTGGTAAATCATGAGGCTCTTAAGCAAATACTCTTAATTTGACGCAAGCTGGCTTACAATTCTGCCATGTTTAATGCAAAATCAGGTATTTTTACCTAGAATGATGAAAAATAATAAAGAGCACTGAAAACAGGTGATCTTTGGGAGTAAAAAAGCAACACTGCCAGTGAAAAAACAGTTGTCTGTGCAACACGAACAAGTTGATCCAAGCACACTGAGAAAAATGTGCCAGTCTCGTCACGGAGCTTTGCGAGAGACCCAGATCCGAGACAAGATGTGACATTTCACTTTTCAGATACCAGGTAGGGTGGAAAACCTGTCTTGCACTGCAGATCAATACATCACTGAGAGAGAGAGGCCAGAGCCCAAATCAATCTGTTAGGTGACGGAAACATCTAGGCCAACACCTGGCTACAGCGCCCTTTAGCCTCTCTGGAAAGCCACAGACTAATACAGTTGTCAGGAGATGAAGGTCCGCTATGAAACAGCACAAAGCAAACACGAAAGGAGCCCCTGTCAGGAAGAAGGGCATTGCTATTTTCCAAGAATACCCATCTGTAACGCACAGATTCCCAGGTCCAGATCTGTGTATCTGCATAGTATTTTATTCAGGGCTCTTTCAAAGTCATTTTACTCCATGAGTATACTACATCTTTGGTTGGACAATGGGGAAGAAGTGCCCATGGGGGGAATTTCTGATGCTTGCTGCATGCAGAATAGTAAAGCATGAGATTCACTAGGATCACCTACAAAAATTAAAACGCATAATAATCATTAACTTGCCCTTTGAAGAGACTGCAGACCATGTTATAATGATTCTCTGGCCTTTTAGCTGGCAATTTCTATAGGATGATGACATATACCATGGCTCCTCTCATTCAGGAAATATTATTACAAGTTGAGCTTCATTCCTCATCCCTGTTTTTTTGAAGGGCACGTTAAAAACAGCCTGGCCCATGGTCACTGTGGCCATTTCAGTCTCATACACAAGGACACATCTGAGGCCGGTCCCCAAGAGTTCCACTTTCAGGTCACTTGTCTTTCAAAGTCTAGTTGCCAAATGAATGATGGGGGCTTGTTTCCCTCCATCACAGAATTTTTTTGTCACAAAAAATGATTTATCTGTTGACAGCCAGGTTCACTGGCCTCAGGCAACTGATGTCAGTTGAAACCACTCAATGAAAAGCAAAGAACACTATAGCAATATAAAGAAAGGAGGGAAAAAAAAAAGGTATAAATACCCTCTCCTCTAAAACTGCCTCGTAACTCTCTTCTGCTTACTGTTGCAATCTTTGCTTCCTTGTAAGTACCAGAACTTCTGTACAAAGCCCTGGAAGGGACAATGAGCACAAGCAGAGTCAGCTCCTTCAGGTTGTAGGTATATATTTACTGTTGGGTTAGAACACTAATTAGGACTCAGAGAAGGTAGACCAGGCAGTGGTTGGGTCTTAAGAGACATTTTGCACTTTAACTATTTGTGAAGTCTCTCCTGTCAAAGGGGTGTGGTGAAAACTCATGAAAAATACAAGGTTGTAATTCAAAGTGATGGAGAATGGGCCTACAGCTAAAGTACTAAATTAAACACGTCACCAGAGGAAGAAGATGAGATGCAGTTATGACATCCAGCGATAGGGATGAAACAAAGAGATGCACTAATGGCATCCACTGCTAGGGATTAAATCAGTAACCTGTTGTTGCTAATCTCCCTCTGCAGTCAGTGAGAGGGACAGTCCTCAGAAAATAATTCTGAGCACCTCGGTCACACTCCTGCCTCTGCAAGTATCTCCCTCTGCCTCTGTTTCATACCGAAGGTGAAGAAGAAAATAAGGTTTAGATCTAGTTTTCCTTCAAATTTGACCATAGAGATTGCAAACTCCTGATAACATGGACTGCCTTACAGTCCACTCTAGGTGGCCACTCTACAAAGCAGCATATTAATATCTCTAAACAAAACACCACTTAAAAAGGAGCCTTATATTAAGAAATCAATAAACTAATCATGAGTTTATCAAGACAGCAGACCTGAGAGGGATATTAGGCACCACACAGTACTTCCAAAACAAAGTCCACGGCTAAAATTAGAAGAATCTGTATACACTGTATTATACTTACAACCCATCTGAGATGTCGTACGAATGGAACCTGTTGCTTATTCAGTGGCTAGATGGAATCACGCATCTTTAATCTCAAAAACCAGAACAGCAGCGGACCACAGTTTTACATTTTTCCATTTGAACTACAATCATTGTCACAAGAGCCAACTTCACACTGGGCCGTTTCTTGTTCTTGTTGCAATTCATCACGAGAAGACACAAGATGTAAGATACCTCAGCAAGGCATAGTCCATGAATAATACAGCGCTTTACTTTGACCTTTTCAGTTTTCTTTGTAGTGTGATTGGCCAACCGTTCCCATCGTCTCCTGTTAACCACCCCATTAACCTGGGAGGAGAAGGTGGAACGGACAGACAATTAGCCAGCAGAATACTAAAAAGGTTAACACAGGAGCGCACAGCCCTGGCTTTCTTGAGTTTTAATGGGTATTAAGATTCTGCAATCTCTTTCCTCTTTCAAAGTCTGCAGGGAAAAAATAAGAAATCACACAAGATGAACTTTGTTCTCATTTCAGATTATAATCATGTAGTTCCTTTCAGATGTCACACTTGGATGATTCTAGTTTATGCGTGAATAAACCGAGAAGAATGTTTATTTTTACCCCTCTCAATATGGAGAATATTCAATTAGAGCAGTGAACTTTTTCTTTGAAGCTGGTCATTCTTGAGAAAAGGAAAATTGGAGAAAGTAGAGGCGAAAAAGCTCCATACGGCAGCGTTCTTTAGAAAGGTCACACTTGCTACGCTAACTACATGAGCTGAGTCATTCCAGTCATTTCCTAGTCAAAGAGAGGAAATGGTGGAATTTTTCCATGTGGGCTGTCAGCTGTGGAAAGCTTTATCTCAGTATTCACCAAGACTACCAGGGCAGGTGGATCTCACAGGTCTCAGGCACGTGTAGAAAATGAGGCATAGTAGGTCTCGACGGATTTTCAGAAGTTTCCGTACATCTTTGTCAAATCTTCCCTTTTTTTATTTTTTTTGAAAGATCACACTATCGTGAACGACAGAGTTATACAGGCAAGTATTAGAAAATGTTTTCCAAAGCCTTGTGGTCAAAAGACCTAATTTCAAGACTTCACACGAGCTTCTTTTGCTCGTAAAGATTTTCTAAACATTACTGTGGTGGTTCAGTTACGATGACCTGGGATCGTTTGTTTTTCAGACGCTGCCATATTCTTGCCTTTGTACAAATGTGTTACTCCAAGTTGCTACTAAGAGCAATGATATAAAATACTTGCTTTAGACGGAAGTGGGGGCAAAGAGAAAGAGACCTTTCCGCCATCCATTAGAATGCCAAATTTCACATTTATTACCGGTATTGACCGCAGTAACACAGAGTCTTTTTTATTATCTCACAGTAATAATATAATCCCTATTTTGCTTAAGGTGAACAATGATATTCAGAGAAGAAGAATTACTAACAAAGAAAAGACAAAGCTTTAAATTGTAAAA